GGGCGCCACGCAAACAAATCGCATGAAGAATATGACGCAGGAGAAGAAAGTTCAACACTATTCAGCAATAACAAAAATGAAAAGCAAATGTGTCATTTTTGCTTAGTATGGGTAAATTGGATCATCAAAGGTCAGTGGCAAAGTGGGATTAAATACATAAATGATATTTGTCTTTTTTAATTATTGCAGGTTTGTATAATATTCTTTGTTTGCAGAAAACTGAATGTGTTTTTGTGCAGGTGAGATGAGTAAATACATGTTCATATTTAGTCTAGTTCACACACAACGCCTCTGCACTTACTCCCGATTTCTCTCAACATGGCAACATCAGAGAACTGCCGTTACTTATTCGAAAAAGTTACTTAGAAGTTCCTTCCAAATTAAAAAGTAATGCATTACTTAAGTAGTTACTTATATAATGTCTTGAAAATGAGGGATTTGTTTCTTACAAACACAGCTTTTGTCTTCTCCAGATGTTCACTGATGGACTGGAGTGGATTATTGTGATGTTTTTATCAGCTGTTTGGACTCTCATTCTGACGGCACCCATTCACTGCAGAGCATCCACTGCTGAGACACTGATGCAGTGCTACATTTCTGATGACGAAACAAACTCATCTGCATCTGGGGTGTTCTGAGGGAGAGAAAACGTTCATGTTTGATTATTAAACAGTAATATAACTGAAAGAAACTTGCACTGACATATCTTAAAATCTGTAAGTGTCAACGATTTGTCTCAAGACGCACACCAATAATGCTTTTTCTAAGGCACGTTTATAAAAGCCACTTAAATGTCCTAATTGAGCCATGGCTTGACCGAAGCCCTGTCTGTGAAGCCCGGGGCCGGTTGCAGAAACACAGCCACCATGTTAAGACTGTGTCTTAAGAACTAGTTTGACCAACTAGCAGTCTCTTGTATTTTCCAATACAAATAAGAACAATCTACCTTTTCATAACTGAATTTAAAAAGTCCTGACCAGTCTTGAAGAAGAAGAAAAAAATGTCAAAACAGTTTATGTGTGGCAGTAAACCCTCTTATAGACAGACAGACTTCAGATGTAGCGTTAAGCATCACTGCACTGATACACTCGGTTGCGTTGCGTTGCGTTTAGTTTTGTATGTACGCTGTTTGTTCGCTATCTGTCTCTCAGGCTCGAGGCGTGTGAGGCACTGCACCTGTGTCTGTGTCTGTGTCTGTGGACGCGCTCCAGTCTCTTTCTCCAGTTATTGCAGTGTTTAGTGGACATGCCACTGCTCTCTCGCAACATTCGTCAAAGACCACCATCTACTTCCTCTGTTGCGCCAGATACACGTCAGCAGGGCGTCACATCCTACGCGCCTGCGTGCACGCGTCAGACGCGCAACCGTAATGAACGTAGTAACGACGCGACTGCAAGTTTGAATGGAGCAAACTGAAGTGATTTGTGCATTAAGCGAGCTTGCTCAATGTAAAATAAACATACCTACCCAGCTTTAAAGGGGTCATATGATGCGATTTCAAGTTTTCCTTTCTCTTTGGAGTGTTACAAGCTCTTGGTGCATAAAGAAGATCTGTAAAGTTGCAAAGACTAAAGTCTTAAATCCAAAGAGATATTCTTTATAAAAGTTAAGAGTCAGCCACGCCTAACTAAAACGGCTCGTTCTAACACTCCCCCACATGTCTACCTCACGATGTGGAAATATTTGCATAACGCGCCCAAATGTGCACGCAAAGAAAGAAGGCGTGGTTTCAGGAACAGCAGTCGTGTTGATGCAGCATGTCAGGGAGACGCTGTGTTTCAGTGCGAAAGCAAAAGCACTTTATTTGGCCTTCCGGAAGTAGATGCAATTAGGAATCATTGGTTAAGATTTATTTACAACAGAACAGCACAACCCAGATGTTCGAATTTGTGCAACGCATTT